TGTAATGTCATGTATGAATGTATGTATGTATGTATGTATGTATGTATGTATGTATGTATGTATGCATTTGTGTATGTGTATATGTATGCATGCATGCATGCATGCATGCATGCATGCATGCATGCATGCTTGTATGTATGCATGCATGTGCATATGTGTATGCATGCATGTGTATATGTATGTAGTATATGACACACACATACGTATTTCTGGATAAAATATGTGTGTGTATATATATATGTATACACATCTAGACTCTCCCGCGCACTCGCTCACTCACTCCCTCAATCGCTTGCCGAGAGTGGAGTATCCGTTCTAATCTCCATATGATCACAGCTGCTATTGCAACACGACGTTCTGCTACAAGTACTGCTGCTGCGAAAAATGACATTGCTCATGGCTTTGGTAGTGACGACTGTGATTCGACAGTGATGACGATGACTGCGGCCATGTTTAGAGTGTACACTTGAGACTTGATGCTGATAATGCTGCTGATGATGCGGATGCCGCTAACAGGCATGGGACAAAGAAACTGGTGACGATGACGGGGACTGTGATGCGGCCGATACTGATGCTGATATTCCTGCTGATGATGATGATGATGATGATGATGATGACGATGCTGGTGATGTTGCCACTGGCCCCGCCATTTCGTGTCGTACCAGAAACCCTTTCTTAGGAGAATACGTATGTCCTGAGACAGCTTCTTGATCTCAGGGCTTGCAACTAGGTTGCCGATCTCCCGCAGCACTGCCTCAGTGCGCTTCAACTGTGTGACAGCACGTATACGGCATAGCCGAACTTCTTGCTGCTACTCCTAGTCTTAGAGCCTTAAACCCTAAACCCTAAAACCCTAAACCCTCAGAGCGACGTGTCGAAATCAGAGGCCGGGACCCCCGTGGCAGTGCGGATTTCGGCCCTGACCTTGCATCCGACTTACGAGCATCTCCGGAGCATCTTGAAACGGTGAAGGTTCAGGGGTTTAGGGTTTTGGGTTTACGACGCAAATTCTACCTTATTGCAAACCTTGTATCCAGAGGGAAGTCCCATGTGTGCGGCTGAACTAAGCCCATGGAACCAGCGCAACTGACAGCTTGGGCCTCCAATGCAGCCTCCGCCAGCCGTGAAAGAATCTGCGGCAGACACTCGGCTAGCTGCCTCAGGCTGGCGCCGGATTCGGGCTTTGAGCCCGAGTCCAAGCTCCGTAGAATCTGGACACCCTATATGCAAGCTGAAAAAGCAGAAGAATCAGATCGACTTAGGCAGGTGCCCGGGGGTCGCATCCTAGGCGAGCACACATGCAAATGACCATACTTTGCACAAGATGACAGGCCACTCCTCTTGCATGGTCTTTTGGAACGAGATAGTGACTTGTATCTTATTTGTCTAAACCCTAAACCCCAGTTAGACCCAAATCGTGTCTTCCTTGGGGTAGCACGAACATCTGAAGAAGGCATGGTAGCAGCACATCGATGCAACCAGCTTTGGTCTTCCACCGCTTGTCCTGAACAGGAGTGAGCTCTGCTCTGTTCATCAAATCCAGAATCTAGAACTCATAGGGTTCAGGGTTTAGGGTTTTGGGCCGCAGTGAATCTGGACATCCATTGCTGCACCCCCAAGTATGTGATGCTACGAGCCTGCATGCCATTGAGCAGCACTGGCATTACCTCCAATCATGTGCTGCAAAGTCAGGTGGCTGTGGTACTCCATAGTTACAGAAATGCCGGCTGCTGCGTGGCCATGCAAGCAATCTGCGTCAACTGACCTAACTGCCCACCTCGCTTGCAATTCCGTGGCCCTTCGGCTGGATGTTGGAGACGATGGCGACGGCAGCCTCAAATCACACGGTGAAGTGTCGCCACGATTCCTTCCCCTTGCGAAGGGCAAGGTGAGAAGGAGGCCTTGACGGCTGGCGGGCCGAGCTTGCTGTCCGCAAAAAGATCTACCAGCCTGGGCAAAGGCAGCGACTTTGGCACTATGCGCGTTTGGCAATGCACATCTCAGCTTCTCACGCCGGTAGCTTTGGGAGCACGAAAGGAGTGGCTTGTGCCAGCTTCTCGAGCGTTGCGAGAGCATTGGCCTTGCATCAGGAGCTCAGTGCAATTCACAGTTTGGCCCTGCATGCCGCTCACACATCGACTTAAAAGTTGCGCGCCGCAAGAACCTGAAAAGCCAAAGGATAGCTTCAAACAAACTGCGCCCTTCATACTCGCATCCGGACCTTCGCTCCAGCAGCGTCCTTTGCCAGAGCTTCGGGCGGCCAAGGGTTTGGGGTATCGCAACAGCCCAAGGTTTTGTCAGCAGCAGATATTGAGGAGTCTCTGAGAAATTGAGCGGTATCTCATGTAGCCATTCGAGTTTTGCCAAGACCATGTGGGCCGGCTGAGAGCGTGTAAGACCGAAGCAGGCTGAAAGACACCTCAACCTGGTATAACTATATACGAGACAAGAGCCAACATGCAGCGCAGAAGTTTCTGGCTTAAGCCTCCTGAAACTGCCAACAGCCTCGCCCCAAAGACACAAACTGTTGAAAACGCGGTCCTTGCCACTGCTCGCGAGAGCCGCATCAAGATCCTTCATGGCACTCTCACAGGCCTCAACAGCCTCTGAACTTGCCTCGGGCGCAGCAAAAGCTCATGGGTTGTGTTTCCGTCGACTCTCATTGCTAGAGTTAGAGTAAGATTATTCAATGCGGCAGGACATCCACATGGACCAGGTCTCCGCCAAACCTCTGTAATCATTGCTTGCCATTCTCTCTCAGCACACGGCTGCGGTGGGCTTCTCCGTTTTGGGAGCCGCCGCCTTCGCGAACAGAAGCTAGGAGTAACTTGGCAACCTGAAACCTTGAGTTTACTCAAACAACGATGTCGTTTAGAATTGGCTGTTCATATCTTCTGCGATGGAAACCCGACAGTGTCGAACAAGGAAATAACGAAGGTATGGTCCGGAACCCACAAGAGTTGCATGACTCTTTTTTAGCTCCCTATAATAGCAGCAAAAAAAAGAAGAACAATCGCCGCACTCTGTAGCTC